TCAAATTTTTTAATATATTAACTATAAAAAATTAAGTAAAATATAACAATGATATGAAAGAATTATTAAGATAACACAAATGAAACATTTATGAAACTTTAAAGTTGCGCTTGTAAGTATAATGTCATGACGTCACACGACCTGAACTGAAATTTAAATTAAGTGCTCAGTGATTTATTGATAGATTTCAACTTTTTTAAGCTGATTTATTAGTTTTGATCTACATATATCATAATTCCACTGCGTTAAATATGATATTAACAACTTCTTGAAAGTCCATTGAATGCAAAGAGCTACCTGTTTCAGTTAGTTTATAATATGCATTTACTTCATCTTATTTTATCGCCTACCTATAACATATATATATATATATATATATATATATATATATATATATATATATATATATATATTTGTTATAGGTACTATATTCATATCTTCCCTAATAGATAATCATAAAAAAGAATATATTATATTGTTAAATATCTGTTACAAGAAAATTTTAAGCATAAGAACATTTTAGTATTTGGAGTTGAAAGGGTGAAGGCATATAGGTATATAAAAGTAACTAAATTGTGGTAAAAAATTAAATGTTCCCAAAGATACTTTGATGTTGAGGGTGCCTACATAATAGCTTATTTTTTTCATATTCATAATAATTTTCACAACTTAATTTGAATATGAAAATTATTTTGTATTTAAATTAATAGTTATCCATGTATGTGTGTTCCCAATAATAACAAAATATGCCTTAAAACTTACTACAAAGATTGCGAAATTTTTCCTCAAACTAGTATCAAACCCGTATCTATTTTATCAAAAATTACAATCTTAATAATTTTAATATTTCTACGAAAATAATAATGAAATTCTTGAAATCCTTTGTGAGGTATATTATATATGTGCATTTCAATAATTCAACGTAATGACGCTCGTATCTCGTCTCGCACGTATTAAGGATTCAGGATTTCTCATTAAGAGTATCATATATCTTCATAATATAATGCTTTATAAGCAGTTTAAGTGACAATTGAAAATCTAATATTCTAAGTCAATTGGAACCAGATCAATTATGTATTGCATTTTCTTAAAATAATTCTTTGATTAATAACTGCTTTGTTGCTAAGTGGCTAGCACGTACGCCTGCATCCTGGATTCGAGTCCGGGATCGAGCCAAAGTAGTTAATGGTCTTTTTCTACATTTTCTTTACTGAGAAGAAAAAGCCCGAAATTCTCGGTTCTCGGAGAGTACATAAAGACGGTTCGGCGCCTCATGTCTCATCAGTTATATGGAACTGTTATCCCACAGGAATATGAGAGTGACTGGAATACAGAGTTAACTTGTGCTTGCTCGCATACTTGTGCATTATGTAGATAATATCTCCGTGCGTTTGCACTACAATTGGCCGCCATAGCTAAAATATATTGGAGAATTTTATTATTGAGTATTCTTAAAATATGATTGAGGATATCTGACATGTGTAGTGCATGCGTATTCACCCCTTTTTAACGTCCCAATACTGGGCACGGGCCTTCCTTCAATATGACGGGGATCAGGCCATAATCCACCACGTTGGCCAAGTGCGTGTTGGCGGGCTTCACATGTCTTTCGAAAACTTGTTAAGTCCTCTCAAACATACAGGTATCACGATTCACGATGTTATCCTTCACCGTAAGACGAGTGGTAATCATGTTGAAAATGATTCGCACATGAAAATATCAAAGGTGCGGGACTTTTAAAGCAAAGTGCACGAGCTAAGCATAATACTAGTTAACGATTAGCAAATCTATTCATATATACAAAAAATCTAACTAAGCCGAATCTGTACATTATTTTTTTTTAATCTTATTAAAATAAACATTATTATCGATACAGAGGCTGAATCTATAGTTTTTAGAATTTTTGTCTGTCTGTCTATCATCGCATCACAGAAAAACCACTGGAGGGATTTTGATGGAATTTGGTATGGTGATAGCTGGATATCCGGGTCAACATATAGAATACTTTTTACCGCGGGAAAATATCTCGTTTCTGAGAAAAAATACAAAAACTGCAATGTAAGAGTATACTAATATGTAAAACCTAAGAATTTGGTTTTTGGTCATCTGAACGCGAGCGGAGCCGCAGGCAATGCTAGTACTAAATACTTGTAGAACAGCACAATTATCAAATGTGAAATATTTCGCTAAATAACGAAGAAGCGGTAGAAGTTTATAAAGAAATTTAATATTAGTTTAGCGTTAGTTATTGCACTGCAAAGTGCTGTCGGTGTAGGAGAGAGTATCTACTTATTACTTTAGTTTCTTTGGACATAAACGAATAGTTAAAAGATACTTTAAATCTTAGTGAATTATTAAAAATTACTATGTAAACAAAACCAAAAGTGTATGTTTTACAATTATTATAGCTAGAAAATACTTAAAACTATCACCTTTTTAAAAAAAAATATAATTTTTGATCATAGATTTTTTTTCTACTTTACGAAAATATTTTACGAACAAATTACATGAATTAAATTTACTTTTTAATATATAATTTACATAACAAAAATTAGTCAAGTGCGAGTCGAATTCCCAAACGAAGGATTCCGTACCATCGTACATGTATTTTTTATTAATACATATATACTTTTACTCTATGTATGTAGTAGTAAATTACGAAAACGAATTAAAAAAAAAATTGTTGTATTTTCATTTTTTCATTTATTATTTGTTGTTATAGCGGCAATAGAAATACATACTCTGTGAAAATTTCAACTCTCTACCTATTACGGTTCATTAGTTACAGGCCTCTGACAAACGGACAGACATCGGAGGCATAGTAATAGGGTTCCGTTGGAGCCCTTGTGCTACGGAACCCTAAAAACCGAGTTTCCGTAATTTCAAATTTATACTATTCACAGTGATAGGAGAAGAAAGTTTGAAAATTAATATCTTACACTATTTTCTTCATTCTCAAAACATTATAAAATATGTACTAAATCATTTTATTAAGCTGAACAGATTGTTTTCTTTTTAACGCGCCTAAGAGTTATCTTTCCGTATTGGAACCAATTTGTTATGAAAGGATATAGAATGTTTAATATCATGCTATCCTGAGAGCAGTTATTATACATAAAATAAGTGAGCGGAACCGTGGTCAAAAACTAGTCTTTTATGAAACATTGTACCGAAAACAAAAGAACTCCTATGGTAAGGAAAACATATAAAAATTCCTTGGCTATAAGGCAACCACTGCTTGTTTTTTTTAAATCAGTTTACCTCAAAATCATAAAGACGCTTTAAATAAAACTATCTTCTTGGATTATTTCGCGGATTTATTTAGATTTTTGGTTCCCGACGTTTCGAATGCTTTACAGCATCCATGGTCACGGGAGAGACTAAGGTGTTCCATGTCTTGAAGGTATAGTTGTTACAGACAGCCTACCCACAATTTGATTTTTGCTCTTATCATTATAATTATTATAATTTTAAAAATATTAATTAGTAATCTATATTTAGTGTTGTAATTATTATATTTATAACCATAAAGAAAAATATAAAATATAATATTAATTATTTAAGCCACATAATTGTTCTACGTGTAATTTAAAAAGTTAAAATTAATTAAGGATAATAATTTTAATTTAGTTTGCTATTATTTAAAAAGACAATTTACTAAGCAACACTATAAATATAAATTGTCTTTTTTCATTTCAATTCAACAAACAGACAGACAAAAATTTTAAAAACTGTGTTTTTTTTATAAATACCGTATATAATTCCATATGCATACAAGTCGGTGTGCCTTGGCTAAGTAATTAAAGCCTACCTATTAAATACATACCTAATCAAATATTTTCGAAATCGGTGCCAGCCCATACAAAGCAAAGCACACCGACTTCGAAAATATTTGATTAGGTATGTATAGTAAATGAAAACAAACAATCAGTTATTTTTTACTTTTTAGTGCTTTTGTTTGAAGTCGGTTTTTATTTTTTTGTTAAAAAGTTTTTTATTTATCTCTATAGATTATAAATGCAAAGGCTAGAATCCTACTACATAATACATTTGTTAGTGTTTTTGTAACTTCTTGACGACTTGGACAATAATTTGGTCTCAAAAAAATATTTGAATAAATAAATACGTTATAAATATGTTAGGACATTAACACACAGCATCATCTAGTTCCATGGTAAGCTACGAGGCCTGTGTTATGAATACCAGATAGTTGATACACTACACATATATAACTTTAAATACATACATTTTATAAATATAAACACCCATGACTGGAGTACAAACATTCGTGCTCATCACACAAATGAATGCCCCCAGCGGGATTCGAACCTGCCATCGCTGGCACATCAAGTAGGGTCACTACAAAATGAGCCAAACGTGTTGTCAATTAAAATTATGATTCATGAATAAACATTTTGGTACTCGGTAGATAAAACGCACTGAGTAAGCGAGGAATGGTTAGTTTTACAATTTATAGGTCGAAATAATTAAATACACAATATATCATATTGATTTAGTAGAAAAAAATCATAAAATCTTGACGTTTGTAAGTTGTTAATAGATTTTATTTATCTTATACAATAAAATTTCAATTTAAAAAACTTTACGCTGGTTTCTAATGAAATATAAATTGTTCATATATTTTAAATAAAACTATCTCTTTGGATTATTTCGCGGACTTATTTTGATTTTTTGTTCACGACGTTTCGAATTCTTTACAGCATCCATGGTCACGGGAGAGACTAAGGGTATAGACGTCTCAAACATATATACTTGTTACAGATACAAAAATTAAAATAAATCCGCGAAATAATCCGAAAAGACAGTTTTATTCAAAGTATTCATATATTTGATTAACATTACGTTTATACATATAAAACGTTTATTAGCATATTTAAGCACAAAGCACCTTTAAAGCCTAATATGTAACAAATTGAAAAACTAAATTACATCCTAATCCAGACGCGGAACTGAATATTTAAATTTTCAAATACATTATCATGCTAAATGAAGTGTTCGTGACGGTAATTGCATTGATCGGCACAACGAGGGCTTGCGTTTCGCGTATCAGGTACATATATGAATGATTACTTTTATACTTGGCCACAATGTTAAATTAAAAATACATGTTATGCGATATTGTTTAGTTACTTTAATATAAGTGTAATCTAGAGGCAGTGGTAGCCCAGTGGTAACGCGCTTGCTTGGGAAACCGAGTAAAGTGGGTTCAAATCTCGGCTCGGGCCAAATTTAGTTATTAAGTCTTTCTGTATAGTAAGCCTCAGTAACAGCCCGGAGTTGGGAAGTTTGCGGTGTTTTACTCCCGTGCCTCGGAGAGCGCGTAAAGCGGACGATCCTGCACCTTAACATTCACCGGTCGAGTAGAGCAGTCGTCCCACCGGAGTATGAGAGTGACAGGAATAGAGTGCACTTGTGTCTGCGCGCACACGCACTGTAGTATAATATCTCCTACGTAGTTGGCTACTCTCAATGAGAATGGCCGCCGTGGCCGGAATCAGTGTGAGCGTCACCAATCAAGCGCAAGAACGATAGCTTTTCAAGCTCTGGGAAGCACGGGGGTGTAATACCACCAACTAACGAAAAATTAGGCATTTTCACAACTAGACTAATTTCAAATTATCTCTTTCAGATAACATGCACAATGGATTACAACGACACTCTCAATATTTCGGAACCCTACAAGCCGTACTATGAGCGACCAGAAACTTACATTGTACCATTGATATTCGCCATGATCTTCATTATTGGGGTGGTGGGTAATGGTACTTTAGTTGCGGTTTTTGTGAGGCACAAGGCAATGAGAAACGTACCAAATACGTAAGTATCTAATTTATATTTTAAATACAACTATCTTTTCGGATTATTTCGCGGATTTATTTTGATTTTTGGTTCCCGATGCATAATAATGCGAAAATATAGTTTTATTTAAAATATCAAATATTCGCGTAAATCTAAGACAGAATTATATAATTCATAATTGAAAGTTGAGTAAAATATAATATTTAAATACATATTAGTACTGTTAATATTGTGTACTTTTGCTAAATAATTTCATTCGTGTTGCTCCAGTTATGAATTATAAAAAGTATTTTATTTAATCTGTAGAATTATAGGCAGTTCTATAGGCACATGCCATTATATTTTACATTAATCTATACATATAATAGAATTCGAAGTAAGCCGAATCTGTACATTAAATATTTTTTGGAAAATCTTATTGAATGAGACATTATCGATACAGAGGCCCAATATAGTTTTTGAAATTTTTGTCTGTCAGTCTGTTTGTCTGTGACCTCATCACGAAAAACCACTGGACAGATTTTGATGAAATTTGGTATGATATATATATATATATATATATATCATACCAAATATAGCTGTTTATACTATATAGGATATTTTTACTGCAGAAAAATATCTCATCTCTGACCTAAACGTTAAAACGTAACTAGGGATGAAACCGAGTGCAGCGATGTTGAGTCGCCAGACTAAAATAATATCTACTTGATATTTACAAAATATTTGTTAAATTTTAGAAGCACTGAAAATATTTAAATAAAAATCGCAAAATGTCAGTCACGTTAGTCTGTTATTAAGCTACAGGGTCAGATATTCTGCCGATATGAATGAGTACAAAATAAAAGCTAGGCTTCCAATTTGTTTGCTGTGCTACTATCGAACGTAATTTTTTTAAACTATTTTTATATAGGGTCAACTCGAATTTTCGTTAACTTAATACTTTCTTAGATGTATGCATTGATATACAAAAACTCAAGACACATAATTAGGATCTCAAAAGTGTCCTCAAAAAGAAGTGCTCCATTCAAAATTGAATTGCGCTATTTTCTTCATTACTTTTCGGATGATAAAATTAATGAATTTGCTGAAAAGGATATAGGATATTTTTTATTCTGGACATCCTTTAAGGGAGTGAAAATGGGGATGAAAGTTTGTATGGAGAATTAACCTAGTCTATAGGTAGATATTTAAAGAGAGTATATAGTATAGATAGTCTACTATATCGCTATTTTCTTTTATTCCCTTCTTTTACGATGTTGAGATTTATAACAATATGTTTATAATAATTAATTTTATTATATTTGTTCGAAATCAAACGTTCATTTGGTTAAAATCAAAAATTAACAAAGTTCTACCATCGCCAATAAATCGATTTATTTATCGACATCCACAACGAAATTACCTCGCCTACGGCCTATCTAATACTGCGCTATCAACATCAGAGCTCATGTATAAATTATTGTTATTGCCTAAGCTTATCATATACAAAACAGTATGGGTTATGCTATCGCACATATAACGCACATGCACACGAACACTCACACGTGCACGCACATAAACATACACACACACATACAAACTTTCATATCTATACAGATAATTAAAATTGAAGTGTCTGTAATGTCAAAATAAAGTTTTTTACTAAATACGTATGAAACATATATATGCGGTACTTATAAGAAAAACCCATTTTTAAACATTTTGACTGTCTGTCCCGTCTAATCTCCGAAACAGCTGGAATGATTTTGACGGGACCATCACTGGGAGATAGCTGATGTTATAAGCAGTAACGTAGGTGTTTATTAGAAAAAGAATTAGTATTCCGCTCAAGAGAATTAAAACGTACATAGAGACGTACTCGAGCGAAGCGATGTTAAGACCCTAGCTTATAATAATAATAATCAAATTTATATCAATCAACTTCTATTTTTGAAGTTCAATAACTGTATATATATATATATATATATATATATATATATATATATATATATATATGCGTGTCAGAGACTACTAAAATTATTTTGTAAAATGAACTGAATCTTACAACGAAAATTGATTCTTGATTTGGCAATTAGGTAAAGGAAATGTTGACTAACATTTCCTGTAATTTTGTTTGTTGCTTTGTTGGTTTATTTTTCTTTTTCGTGGCAACGGAGTAAAAGGTATCAAAGTATTTTTAGCACAGAGAAAAATTTATAATGTCTAAAGAGTAACATAAACTACTTTAATTCGTAAAAGAAATAAGATGGCAGGATCTAAGTGAATCAAGACCGCCACAGCGGTAGCAAGCCTACAACTCTTTTTTTAACCGACATCCAAAAAGGAGGAGGTTCTCAAGCCGACAATATTTTAAGATATGAATATCTAATAGGTAAATATATATTTTACGTATCGAAATATATTAGATGTGCTTTGCATCGGCTGGCACCGACTTCGAAAATATCTGATTAGGTATCTATTCTAAATGAAAACCTCCGTTTAGTTATTTTTTACATTTTAGTGCCTGGAAGTCGGTTTTTTATTTTTTTTTAAAGGTTTTATAATACTTGGGTAGGCTGTCTGTAACAACTAAATATATAATGCCTTTGAGATGTCTAAAACCTTTAGTCTCTCCCGTGACCATGACAGCTGTAAAGCATTCGAACCGTCGGGAACAAAATATCAAAATAAATCCTATATCAAATGTTTGTACTAAAGTATAATTGGAATTTCATAAAATAATATAATTATTTGAATATAATATATATTTACGAGTCTGATGTTGTTTAATTTTTATAATTATGAATATATTCCAAATTTATATATTTTAATACAATTTATTAAGTTATTCTCTTGTATATACTCGTATAGTATCTAAATAGATAAAAAATATTTGTTTTGACAAAAAAGCCAATAAGAATATGGAACCACCTCGAAATCAAACTAAAATAGCCAAATTGGCAAAATACAAATTATACATGGCAGTCAGTCAGCGAACAAATAATCAGTGAACAATTTACCTACATCTATTGGTCGACCAATAGAGATGAGATATTCATATGTCCTGAGATGCAGCATGAAATACTCATTGAACACACTGCTACATAAAGCAGACTATCGTAATTAGTGGTTGAATACTAAATTGAAATAAGCAGATTGAAGTGGTAGAGTAGATTAGACTAGTCTCATACCCTAAGTCATGTAAATAAATGTAAAGTTGCATTTTTATATGTTGAGTGTTTTAATAGAAAATAATATATCCTATATCTTTAACGAGCAATTCTTTTAAATATATAAATATATATAATCTGAATCTCGGAAACGGCTCCAACGATTTTCATGAAATTTATTAAACAACGGGTTTCGGGGGCGATAAATCGATCTACATTTGTCTTATGCCTGAGAAAACGCGTGTTTTTTTAAGTTTTCATGTAGTTTTCTTTCGCATTATTCGACGCGAAAAATGGTCGATAATTGCACACGCTCGGGCATAAACATTTGACCACGGTCAAGCGGCCAAGACGTAAGATTAACAATCATAGGTGCCCGGGTTCGAAACGCGGTCGGATACAAAGGTATTTTTTTTGTATTTATTTAAGTTTTTAGTTTTTTTTAAAAGAAAATTGTACCTTTGACCTAAAACTCCCAGACAATCTTTTAAAAACAACCCTTGTTTAGGTACTGGTATCCTATCAATAACTCTATGTACTTGAGAAAATATAGCTATATTTAAATACAGACATACATTTCAATTTTCTTTGTAATTTATATAGATAAAGGTATATTATAGACATATAATAGAGATATGCAACGACGGCAGAATCGCCGGCGAAACCTTTTAAAGAAATACTAGTGTTTTTTCACAGCTTCACTCGCGTAGTTTATTTATATATTATCCATATCCAAAGGATATATTATTATCTTTTTGGTTACCGTATCTTAAAAATAACGGATTTTCATATAAGCTTCCTCTCCTTTCACCCTTAAAGTCAGTAACTTTTCTAACAACCTTTTCCTGTTTCTCGCGATCGAACTAATCTTGCGAAACATCAAGTTTGTAGCGTTTATACTTTACGAGATTTCGTGCTATTCAACGAGTGGTATTTCACATACACTGCTTCATGCTTTATCATTCGCTTGTAGGCAGAAAGAACAGAGTACTAAGCGCTACGACCTCTACACAGTACACACATCTTTCGATTCTTCCATTGTTGTCATTCTGTTATCTCATCGGAGGGATATTTTATATCATATATAGACCATAGACGTGTATTGTAGAAAGATCATATACATATACTTATATTTAATAAGTATTATAACGTTTAAAAGAATCTGGAGATCATACGACTGGAGAGATCTTTTGAGAGAACTTTTCCCAGATTTTTAAGGTACTATAAATAAATTGGCAAAGGCCGAAAAATTGACAATTTTGTCACGTCCTGTCCGTCATACCCTTGTCACAGTTAATTCGTATGTAAACGAAAGATCGATGTTCTAGTACAGTTTGTATACAAAGATCTTTTCTTTGAAGCACTCATTAATAAACCAAGTTAAATTAAGTCTAGTTTGAGAAACCGATAAAATATGTTCTCAAAGAATCTTTTCTGAAAAACGTGCAAAACAGCTTTCCTATAGATCAGAAAGTCATTTATTTATCCAAAGATATTAAATAATATTATAAATCCGGAATTGACTAAACGTATGTACCTCTTTACGTTATAAAGGCTCATTAGGCATAATTTTCGAAATTTGATTCAAAATTAGAATGGAGATTGCTAGTATCCGCCCTGACATGCAAATGAATCTAAATACCCAAAGACATGGCAAATATTTGTGAAATATCAGATACTTATAGAGAAACTTTGTAACTTGTTTATATATTTTAATAAATTAAACACCACTCACCTGAATGTGGCTGGACCCTCTCAACCAATCTACATTGATGAATCGCTGACAAATCTGGGGAGGAAGCTATCGTTCCTTGCAAGACAATTCGTAAGAGACAACCACTACCACAGCACTTGGACCTCATATGGAAA